AGTATAATATTCGGCCCTCGATTACATACTCGGGCCCTACCGATCAATTCACTTAAAAATTAATATCGTGATTATTCGGTACGGGTTTTTAAACCGATGTTGTTCTGTTTAGGCCTTTCCAGGCATTTTCCCGGAGCCATGATTTTAGAACGCCGGGCATGGGGAGTTTACCAGGCGCGCGCCTAGATTGGACGTATAACCAACACAACAACTACGCCTAGACTGGTTTGGTTCAGCTAACCGTGTAACAAGCCAAACAATTATAAAGCTGAAATGGGATTTATATTACACAAAAACATTAACGCAGAGCTTAGCGCTTAGCTAGGCCGAATTAGCGTTACGCTCTTTTCAGTATAATCACAATGAAAGTTGAAGTATGTTATACCTCTTATTTGGCACAGGCCCGTGTTTTTTATGCATTTTGGAAAGCCATGTTGCCATTATATGTATTGCATTTCCAGTGGGCCTCCACCAAATAATTAGGCATTTAAATGTGTTAATCCACAATAGAGAGTATGTTATGTTGTTACTAACAGTATTTGGTGTAAAAGCCATTTGACTATTCGGTATCGGTGACTATCGGTATCGGAATTGAGGAGTGGACAAATATCGGGAATTATTCGGAATATACGGGCGGAAAGCCACAATACTCGAGGTCATCCCTAGTGGGCACTGACATTACCGTGAAACTTTCCATCATGTCCAGGGATATTCCTTGTGATTAAATTCCTTCTCCACAGCCAATCCTTCCCACCCTTGCACACAAACATACCCAGTACAGAATATTTACACCTGTAAAAAGACCTCAGGAGGATTTTACGGATTGAAAAAGATAATTAGAACAGGTCTGAAAAGAAAAGGCCAAGATAAACCATTACCTACTGGGACGACAGTTCGATCATAGAGGTAAGGAAAAATGTGTGCTATTTTGCAGTAAAACACAGATGGACAAATTGCACCACATACACATCTTAAGACCTACACAGTACACTCCCCATATCCGGAAGACTGTCAGGTGGAAGCTAATCAGGCCAGGGACTTAACCCGACCCACTGGAACGAAAGTGTTCGGATGACCACTAGATGAAAGTACAATAGGCTCCCGCAGGGTGTCATATCCAATAAACCAGCATTGCGTCAATGGATTGCGCTGGTGCTGATGATGGGGGTCACCCCCTCAGCTATGCTAATATGTACTCTAGTAATAGCGCCTTGGGCTGGAGGTAGGGAACCATAAGACGTCTACACTAATCACTACCATGAGAGAGAGAGGCTTACAATCAACCTCATCAACAGATATCAAGCAGCCAGAAAAGGATCCAGAACATGCGTTTATTCCAAATACCTGAATATCAATCAATCAATAGTCTCAATGGAATACCACACATTATAAACATAGTCAATCCATAGTCTACCGAACTCCTAAAAACATCACAACCCTTTTACAAAGTCTGCCAAACAAGCGAAACTCGAATTCACTTGGACTGGGGCTCCTAACTGTAGCCTAACACTCATATCTCAGTGGTACCATGTTACTGAAAAAGAACAGAAAAACAAGACGTTATGTTGCAGTTTTAACAAGAAGGGACCTGAAGCAGGCTGAGCTATACAGGCAATATACTAACCTCTCCATATACCATCACAAAGATCCATCTATTACCAATACCTGTTTGCTACCTCATCCTGCCCCTCTGTAACCTTGTTGCTATACCCCCACCTTTCTGGATCTCTCACACGTACAATATACGTAGGTTAAACTGAGTTTCACACTGCACACCAGATTTACCAAATATTATTCTGATAACTACAAAATTACCTTCTGGCCAAATCTCAGCATAACAGGGTCATCGTAAAAGCGGCCATTAATCTCCCTGTCTAGATTATTCGCTTTATTAGGCTATATCTCTGATTAACTTGGTTGGCAGCCTTTCGTGGCGGCCCTTCTGGGCTTTCCCAACGAGTCGAGGCTTTTAAAGTAGTTCTAGAATAGGTGACCACGTAGCTTTTTCCCAATCATGGGGCCCTGGGCTTTTAAGAGACCTGTTCGAGGAAATTTTACGATGAAAGTGAAAGTCTGAAAAGAAGGCCAGTAAAACATTACCTTGGGGAGTTTGATGAGGGAGGAAATGTGTGCTATCTGTTGCAGAAAAGAGGGACAAGCACAATTATTTAAGACACCTACAAGTCTCCATATCCTGGAAGACTGTGGTGGAGTACGGCCAGATTACCTGGACCCTGGAGAAAGGTTCGATGACCCTGATGAGGTTCTGCTCCAGCAGGTTGTCATACAGCTTGGTCAGATGGGTGCTGATGATGGGGTCATCCCTCAGCTCTGCTTTGTACTCTGTTAGCGCCTTGGGGAGGGTGGGAACAAGACGTCTTAATCACTAATGAGGAGAGAGGCTAAAACATCACAGAATCAAAGATGCAGAAGGACCGACAGCGTTTCAATCTGATTCATAATGTTCAGGAACACATTATAAAAGTCAACATCCGACTCTAAACACAAACCTTTTCAAAGTCTGCCAGCGACCGATTCTTGCTGGCTTGTGCCACACATTTCAGTGAGTCTGTCTATAGAAAAAGAAGAGAAACAGAACGTTATGGGTGCAGCTTTTACCAAGAGAGACTGAAGCAGGCTGAGCTATACGCAACATAACTACACCTCAATAAATACCATCAAAGATCATCTTTCAATGACTGTTTGCTAAGCCCTGCCCCCTTAGCTACTGTTGCTACACCTTTCTGATCTCTCACAGCACAATACGTAGGTTACACTGAGTTCACATGCACACAGATTTTCCAATATTATTCTGAATATTACAATATTCTGCATTCGATAAGGGTCATGTAAAGAGCATATCCTGTTTAGATATTGCTAATTAGGCCTTATTCCTTATTAACTGGTTGGCAGCCTCAGGTGGGGCCCTTCTGGCTGTTCCAAAGTCGAGGCTTTAATCTAATGGTGACCGTGCTTTTCCCATCAGGGCCACTGGGCTTTAAAGACCTGTCTGAGGAGATAAGGTTCGCAGAATCAGAAACAGGTCCGCCACTGAGAGCTCTGCGAAAGGGCCTCAATATGCACCTAATGGCTACATATATGATATTGTGTTAAAAGCTGCATGTCCCAGGCACAAAGCAGCCAGGGGTTGCTGGAGTGTAAACTTCCCCAACTTCAATAAAGTGCAGGACAGAGCTGCTGGGGTTAGCTTTCAGAGCGTCCAGGACTGGATTCCACAGAGTAGGAAAATACTTCACAGTGGACGTGCTCCAGCCTTTGGAAATAACAACTGGTTAGGGTAGTAAGCTAGTTAGCCAGACATGCTAACAAAATTTGAAGCTACTTTAGAGCAGACTGTCACACTGTCTAATCCATTCCTTACACTTCTGCTCCTGTGTTCAGTTTTGGAAAGGCTGAAAAAGACACGACCCTTCACACTGTTTAAATGTAGAATGTCTCTCTAACCAGAGTCCCGGACACACCGCTTCTACATGTGGAGCTCTCCAGAGCTTGACAGGCCTGCTGTGTGTAGTGACTGTTGCTAAGCTATGATTGGGCAGACTCTGTTGAGAGGAGGGGTTTAGCAAAAAGTGGGTTTAAAATAGACTTCAGAAAGAGAGAGTGATACCTGTCTGCCAGCGTATCGCAGAGCTAGCTTCCCACTGATGAGGGCCTGGACATCCTCTGGCCTGAAACACAAACAATCTGCATCAGCCAAGCAGGTCGACAATCCAACACCAATAGTGGGTTCTCTTCAAGTACAAAAATGTTTCACTGTATTCTGATGACATATATATAGTTAATACTGTAATAAGAGGTTTACATTTTGCATTCACAGACTATCGTGTATGTGAGTAGTACCACTTACGCGTTGAGCATGATTTTGCAGAGCAGCATGTACTTGAGGGCTGTGATGGCTCGGGGGCTGTCAATTGAGTCGTAGCCCTCAAAGGCCTCGTAGAAGTAGGAGTAAGCCGTCTTCCAGTCTTTCTCCTCCGCTGCATGAATGATCCCTGTAAATGCAACCAACACAGTGGTAAATGTCAGGGAAACCGCAAGAGAAAATAGCAACTTCTTCACCTACTGCTCTGGTTAATGTTCAGTAAGTAGTAGATACATGTAAAACAACCTGCGGCTACCTCAACAGCGGTTGTCGTGCCATGTACCTGACTGCATGTCTAAAGCTGCTTGTAGTTTCGGGGGGCAGTAGATGGCGTTGGCGGTTGTCCTGGCAGATGTAAGGGCGGCACGGGCCTTGGGCAGGTTACTGAGCCCATGGTAGGTCTTACTCTCCAGCAGCTGAACCTCCACTAGCAGGGCCTTGTCGTCCATCTTCTTCAGCTCCTGCAGCAACTGGGAGCCTGGGAGGGAAGGAAGTTTAGAGAAAACCCAACGCCAAAAATGACACGGATACAATGAGAAATCCCCTCTGTCAAATTCTATCAAATTCAATGGAAATGGGATGGTATTGTCCCCTTTATTTGTGTTTTATACACAAAGTTTCTCTCTTTTTTTGTGCTTTAAACATTCTGTAATCATCAAGCTTATTAAAAACTCCAAGCGATTCAACACTTACCAAGTTGTAGTGCCTCGTGGTAGCACTTTGTGTCGAAATACAGCGAGATGAGACGAGCCTGAGGAGAGAAGAGAACTCATTGGACTCCATGTGGCTGGTTAGGTTAGATTTCAACTTTCCTGCTCAACCCTAGTAGCTGCGTTTTTCACACAGCTAGGTAAACCGGACAGCCAGCAGAGAAGTTGATGCTAATCTTAGGGTGGCCTGTCTGTTTGGGTTGATGCAGGGCAAACATGAACCACATCACAGTTTGTTTGGAGTCCAGAGACCCACCGGCCCAGAGATCTCGGTGCAGTTATCTGGTGCCACTTGAGTACAAGTGGCCTGTTTTCACTCGCCAAACAAGCGGGAAAAGAAACGCTGTCCAAGCGCTCGGTGTGAGGAAGTCTCACCTCTAGCGCCTGTCTGAGGAAGGTCCTCTTCTCAGCCTTGGCCCACTCTATGCACTCCAGACACAGCTCTACCTCCTGACCTGTGGCTGCTTCCATGTCCAGGAAGAGGTCCAGCAGGGAGCGGACCAGCCGGGCTGCCTTGGCCTTGGAGATGGAGTTGAGGAAGGGGCGTACATACTTCAGCAGACCCCCAAGCTCTGAGAAAAGGACGGGAGGAACAAAGTACATTTTTGAATCAATCAGTAAATCTTTATTAAAAAGATGCTGTAAACACTACATTTAACAGACCGCACTGCTAATTCCAACATGTTCCCTCCCTGATACAAGAAAGACCTTTAAATCAATACTTTTATATTTTAATAAAGAACATTACAGGCAGTTATGTAGGCCTTGAGTTTGTATAGTCCCAATTCATTTAAAGGTCAAGGTTTCTTCCTGTTCTACTGTTCTGATGAATTGCAGCGCTTCCACTGGCCCAAACGTGAGGCAGAAACAAACTTTTCATCCAAAGGTCACCATCTCCAATCTCACCAGCTAGTATGTTGCTTTCCCAATGTTATTTTTTACATTTTTTTTTAAAGATAAGAGAGATTTTTAATCTTAGAGCAGGTTTGCTGACAGGGATTATATGAAAACATAAACAAACAAATTCCTTAGAGCGGTCCATTGAAAAACATTATCGATCAACTCCTTGTATTTCAGTTTTAGTAACATTATTAAAAACGCACTTGCAAAGGGTGTAAAGTATGTAAGGCAATGTAAAGATCGAATACTTTACACAGATACTAACAGAATAACACTTTAACAGATATTAAGCCAATTGTCACAGTTGCTGTCAGCACAAAAGGCAGACATCAGAACTCCTCATACTATGGCTTAATTCCCCCTTCATGGAAATCTGCTGCATGCAAAAAAAGGCAGCTGGTCCATTTAGCAAGGAGGGCACATGAGGTAACATTTTGACAAACACTCTTAAGCGCTGCTCAGCATTCACAATTTAGACAATATTATCAGAGTTATTGTGAGATAAGTGACAGCAATTTCTGAAATTTGAAGAGGGGCTCCCACATAAAAATAATTATTATACAATCAGCACTCCATTCTGATGAATTGCTCAGCTCTTTTGTTTGACAGTTCACATTATTTGTTAAATGTGGCCCATATCGAGTGAGCTCTGATGTGACTGTTCACACTGAGGTCGCATTGCAAAAAAAAATCAGACCAGCATCTGATGTGACCATATATGAAGGCAGCCCTGCAGTGTGACTGCGGCCTGAGAGTGTTTCTTGTCAGCAAAATCTAACTGCACTCCAAGATGTGTTTGTAGGAGAAGCATCAAATTAAACCAAAGTATGTGTCAAAGCCTCAACACTGTGGACACTGAGGCAGGACTCTGACTTGTGAGGCCTGACTGGGCTCAGAAAGCTGTAGCATGAGGCGAATGTTTACCAAATCCTTTTAAACAGTGTGACATGAAGCGTTGTGTGTGTGTGCGCTCGAATCAGACACAAATATGAACACCATGTTCTATCACCTGCAGCCTGTCCGGTCTTGGCCAGCAGCCCACCCAGCTCCAGGATGCTCTGCTCTTTAACACGCACCGCCTCTTCATCACTCTCCTGGATGTCCCGCTTCACTACAACACACACACACACACACACACACACAAATATAACGATGTAATCTGATCCGTATTGACATGAATCACCGCAATGTGCAAACAGTGAAATGCTTATGTCCCACTCTTTACTTGTGTCTCTAGAGGCTGGCATTAAGTTATATTATGGACAGGTTGGGTTGGATGGCAAGCAGCCAAGCGGCTAACGACATGTCGGACCTGTCAAATTAAACAATAACGAATAATGACAGCTACGCTTTAATAATCATTATAGAGCAGCATGTGGTACATGAGGATAAAGTAAGCGCTGTGACAAAGTAGGTGATGTTGAGAGTTACTCAGTTTCACAATAATTTCCTTGTCGGCCTGACATCTGACAAGACGAGGCATAGCTGCTAACAACGCTGGCTGCATGCTAACGTTAACTAGCCAGCTGTCACAGTTCCTGTCAAATGAATGAGCCGGGGAAGCTAACTTTAGCTTGTCTCATAAGCTAGCCGGTATGCTGCTAGCCGGCTAGCCCGCTGCTGCTGACTCACTGTGCAAGCTAGGAGAAAAAAGAGACGGCCAGCACTGGGCTAGCTAACTTAGCTTAGCTGCTAACAGGCTAACTCAACTGCTCCACGTTTGACAGAGGGGAGTGTAGCTTCAGTGTGTGAGCGTAAAATGTTTTTCTCTCCAGTGCCGTACTGTGTGGGTTATATTTACCTATTGAATGTAAGATATCGATAGAGGCATTCCGGTCTGTTCCAACAAGAGACTGTGCTCTCTGAAACTCAGCCACTGCCGCGGCTGCCATCTTTCCTCTGCCTGCCTCCGCTCCGCTCTGCCTGCTTGTTTTCCGGTCAGGTCGTTCACAGACTCGGAACAATGCTGCCCCCTACCGGCGACAGCGAGCTCTGCCCTCGAAGTGCAGGCACTTCCAAAAACTATCGGAATATATAATAAAGCTAAATGTTGTTAGTTTAACAACGACTTCATACTGTCCATGCTGCACCGTCTCAGTGCTGATGACATTTAGAGTGACCAGTGTTTAATTGGACGCTGAGAAGAACGTTTCATTGGGGTGATCGCTCTGAAATGGGCAGGTGTTTCTTTTAAACCTGATTAAACCTGAAGTATTTCCACATGTGCCTTGTCCTTGCATTTCAGACAGTTATACAGTGCTTTAAATTTAGGTTTTTACATGCCGGGAAATTAATGTCATCAAATTAAGCCAAAGTAGCCATAAATGTGCTGGTAAATCCATGTTATTGGACAGAAACACTGTTAAGTGTGGGTGTGTTGCTGATTTTGTAGCTGCAGAAAAATGCACCCTATTTGTGTGAAGAGATCATTTATACCACACTTCACAAATTGTAAAATACACAAATGCTGCAACAAAATATTAAATCTAAGAATATCAATAAATATATTTTGCACTGCAATAGTAGCTTTATGTTTTGGTGGTGGGAGGTTGCACTACATCTAGGGGATTACTGTGACTACACATAAAATTAAGGGAAGTTTCAGAAGTATTAGTCACGTTTCAAATAACTTGCCAAGTACCCTAATTCAGCACAGCCCTAACCACAACATAACCCTAACTCTTTTGGCATTTTTTATCCTTTTAAAAAGGACATTTTCAATGCTGTTTTCTTAGTGTTTACACAGAGACACAGGTATGCAGTTGTAGGATTTTAGAAATACAGAGGTCTAAAAACTGAACTTGCTGGGGGTTTTGGGGAGTTGTTTTCAGTCAATTATTTCACAACCTTTATTGCTAACCCCAAGTAGTACAAAAATCTGAACTGAGTAGCGACCCATTTCAGGCACTGGTTTTAATGAACACAAAACAAATGTACTCTAGATTTAATGTGTGCAATGGTAGCACACAGTTCAATGAACAACATCTACACATTTAATATAAATAATAGCCTTTATTTCACAAAACATACAGAGCACAAAAAACTTAAAATCTCACGAGTTATGTCACTCATGACAGTGACGTGCTTTCACAGCACAATGGACAGGTAGTCACACACCTGAAAGCAGAGAGAGGAAAACTTAACCGGTAATACATCACAACCAATGACTGGTCAAGCAGCAGAGAACATATGTGGCAGACAGACAGACAGACAGACACTAAGTTCCTGCAGTGACAGATTTGTTTTAGTATGAATTTCCTAAGACTCCTTGGCAGTGACTGTGCCGTACCTTGCAGCTTATCATCAGGGTGGCAGAGCTGTCCATGTTGGGAGCTACGGAGAAAACAGGGTTGTGGAGACAGTCCTCCATATGCTCCGACACCCTGGACTCCAGAAGATGCCGCAGGACATTGGGGGTGATGTTCTGTTTCTGGACACAAGGTGTACAACGTTGCAGGATTTTAGCCGGAGCCATTACTTAGGGATGGAAACCTGCACTTTTCTCTTGGGTTTCTTCCTTTATGTACAGGCTTTTAGTAGAGTCACATACACAAACATATTTTTGATACAACACTGGGAAAATATCTATACGCGACAAGAGAGAAGAGTGTCAGTGTTCCAGGAATATACAGTAACAATCATATTGATGGGACAACTTTGTGATGATTCTCAAGCAAGTTGTGGAGTTAGAAGAGCCATTGTGCTGATTTATAATCGTTTATCCACGGTGGACATGGCATATAATGATATCCCCAGCTAATGTAAGTGGGTGGTTCCCAACCTGGGGAGGTCACCAAGGCCTTGATTTTAAGAGGTGTAAGAAAACTATGTACAGTCGGCTCAGCATTTTGTTAATTTCGGTGGGGAAAAAAAAACCCATTAATTAAGGCCCATTAAGTCTATATGATTAAAAATGAAGAAAATACATAAGACAGAACTGTATAAAAAGTTCCTAAAAATACCAGCAGAACTAATCTCAATCAATATTCAATATTCACAGGAAATAA